GTGGGGGTGGGGGGGGGCGAGGACAGCAGTGCCTGTCAACAGGCCTTTTGGGTGATCCTGATGCATGTTCACATTTAAGAATTGCTGCTTTAACGGCATCTGGCCAGTAAGAGGGGCAGGCTCTAATCACAGGCTGGGTAGACTCTCTAATGGGACAGAGATGGGTGCTCCGTAGTTCATCTCCAGCCACCCCATGGGACTGACCCGCTCAGCCTGTGTGTAGCGGTGTTTACCGCTGCTGATGGGACAGGGAAAGAATCTGGTTTGGAAGATACCCCTGGCTTCTCTAGGGCTGCAGCTAGCCCATTCCACATCTTTGTTCAACTTAGGAAATGACGCCCATCCCCACTTTTTTTTCTGGAGAGCATAGCTTAGTGAATTGAGCCCAGGTGGAAATTCAGCTCCCCCTTGTCCCCTCTCCTGTGCAGTTCCCAACCTTCCCAACTTTACTTGGCAGCCCTGCAGTTTACGTGGTGGAGAGAATGCCAGCAAGAGAGAAAGGTGTTCTCTTTGATTTCGATTCTCCCTTTCAAGGGCTCCTTTAAGTGACAAGGAAGGAAAGGTCAGGGTGGGGTGGGGTGGGCAGGGACGGAAGGGGGAGCCAGGGCTGCGGGGGACAGAGGGCAGGCCTGGAATCATTTCAAGTCCTTCTGTGCAAACACACGTGTGTGCTCTGGGCCCACATTATTTACCCAGGCAGCACCAACAGCCCGCTCTGGCCCCGGGTCCCCACCCTGGTCTGTGCCCATGCCCTATCCCTAGGTGGTCCCACCCACACAGAGCCCCTCTCAGCCCCCCACCTCTCCCACATCACCCCTTGCCTTCTTCCCACCCCATTCACGCCCCCAGAACTCTCAAGCCTGCCACGTTCGGACAGTTTCTGCCAACACCCTGGGCCATATGCCAGGGAGACAGAAGCTTTTCCAAGAAGCAGGAGCACTTGCCTCCCTCATGGCCCTCCTGTTTGCTTGGCCTCAGCCACAGGTAGGCTAGAAGGCAGGTGCTATGCTTCAGGGCCCAGTAGCATGAGGGGTCAGTGAGGATGAATGGGCAGGGCAGGTGGCAATGTTTGCCTGGCGGGGATGTGATGACACATTCCTGACACATTTGTGAAGTGAGCTGTATAGTTGCATCCGTTCCCTCCCCAGGAGAGAAGCAGCATGGATCTTATTCTTAGCCCTATTTTGCGATGGGGAAGTTAAGGTGCAAAGAGCTAAGTGACTTGGATCCAGGTCTTCCAACTCCTGGCCCAGGGTTCCTTCACCAGCAGAGAATTTGTCTCCTCCTCTACACTCCAGCTCCCCATGACCTTAATCCTAAATCCCCAGGAACCTGCTCTCAACCAAGACTTGGTGACAGCTCCAACACCTTCCTGGTGAAAAATACTCACTGTTAAGAAACTTTGAAAGTAAGAGACGCACAAAGCACAGGTGTGTTCATGATTCACTGTGTGGCAGGAAGAAAGATCTGAGTATTTGCAGGTGGGAGATCGTAGGAACTGCTCTGATCCCAGGAGCCTAGGTGTGGGGGAACCTTGATTTACTGGCCAGGGAGCCAGAAGCTGATTTCCTCTTTTACTACCCACAGCCTGGGTGACATGGCAGCAAGAGCCCCATTTTATAGATGTGAACAGTGAGGCTCAGAGAGGTTATGCAGCTTGCCCAAGGTCTCCAGATGGCCATGTGTAGGCTCTGCTCATTGTACCACATTCCCTCTAAGGCTTCAGCTCTGGCAAGTCCCATCTTCCCAGGGGCCTGGCCACCTCCCAGTCAGGCAACTTGATCCTCTAAACTCTCACCTCTTGACTTCTCATTCTACCCCATGTCAAGCTCGATTCTCTCCATCACCCTTTCATCAGGCACGTCTATGCTCAAGAATCTCCCATGGCTCCCCATTGCCAGGCCTGCCAGATTCCAATGGCTGGTACCCACCTCTGAGCCCTCCTCTTACCCAGCCCAGACAATCAGAGCTGTGAGAGACCATATATTATGTGATTGCATTATAGATAGGAGCAGTGAAGTCCAGAGTGGGGAAGAGATTCATTTGCTGGTTAGTAGCAGGGTCTGGATCAGATTCAGGGATCAGTTGACATATCTAGGCTCTAAAGAGAATGACATTTCCTGTGCTATTTTCTTTTGTGTTGTCTCCCTGCCCAAGATGCTCCTTCCTTCTCATAACAGTTCAGCACAAAGCCCTCCTCCCCCAGGAAGCCCTCCCTAGTAGCTCCCTCATCTGACTTCCCAGCTCTCTCCATCTGTGCCATGCAATTCAGTCCTAATTACATTCAGGTGACTCTCCGCCCATGAGGACATACGTGTACTGAAAAAAAATGAAGCTCAGAGAGTAGCAGGAACATGCCATAGTCACACAGCAGAGCCAGGACCAGCTAGAGGCTGCTGACCCTCAGGCCTGGGATCCTGGGACAAGTCCAGTGTTTGTCCAGGCCAGGTCCCACAGATGGTCGACCCAACCCTCCCAACAGCCTCTGCCATCTGGGTCCAAGGGGCTGCTGGTCTCCTGAGCGATGCCTCCAGCTCCCAAACCTCGAGCTGATATTTTCTGGATTAAGCTACATGTCTGGATTAAGGCTCAGCATGTCCTGGCTCCTTCTGCCCCAGAGGCTTTGGCTCCAACGCCACACAAAGAAACTTTGGTAACAGCTGGTGGAGGCCAAGGCCCAGAGACAGGGCCAGATGGTGGGGCAGTGGCCAGAGAGATTAGCCACCTCAGGCCTTTTTTCTCAGCATCTATTTCCACAGGAAGGCAGACCAAGGAGAGAAAGCAGAGGGACCCAAAGTCGGGGATTTACAGCAGCTGTTCCCTGCCACTGCCTGGGCCTGCTCTCACCCTTGGGGCCAGGAATGTGTCCCCACAACTCTACTGCCTCCGGGGTTCTCATTCCCACACCCACCTGGCATCAGCAAAAGATCCCCTATCTCCTGAAACCACAGCCTCAGGGAAGTGGTGTTACCAGGGAGGTCTTTACTAAGGCCCTGAGATGTTGTGAGGTTGGAGCCTGTCTCCCACATCCTGCTCAGTCCAGGCTCCCAGATCTCCCCCGCTCCTGCGGGTAGGGAGAGGTGGGTTGTGGGTGGGGTTACTGTGCCCGAGTCTCCACTTAAATCCTGAAATGCAACCTCAATCCTCCTAGAGCCAAGGGCCCTAGCTGCAGAGCCCAGTGAGAGGAACACTGAGGGAGAGTGGATGGGACAGGGGGTGACAGAGCTCACTGCCCAGCCCTGAGTTGGCCTTATTCCACCAACTGGAGCAGACCTCCTCTGGCTTCCTCACTGTGGTTCACTGCCTTGGCTGTCAGCCCCTCCCTCCCTCCAACTAAAGGGGCCTCCTTCAATGGGTCAGAGTCAGGAGGCTGTGGGGGGTGTATAACTTGGCCAGGAACTATGCAGAGTGGAAAGGGGACACATGGACCTGCCCCCCAGCCTGCTGGTCAGCACCTTGGAGAGAAGCCGAACCTTCCCA